TGATGGTCAGCAGTCGCCGCGAAAGCGGAAAAGATCTGGGGATTGATCGAAGCGGCTTAATTAGAACATGCATGTTTTGCCCAGCTTGGGTCTCAATAAGTAGGATATCAGAGCAAGTGCCCGAAGAGAAATGCGCCTCAGGTGCATGATCATGCTTGGCACAAAATAGAATGGCGATTCTATCCGCATGCACAGTTTGCAGGGTTTGCTTGTCTTCCTTCGACCGCTGCCATGTGTCGCCGGGCCGGTTGGCTCAAGTTTTTGGACAGATCTGGTGGGCGGCCCGCTTTGCTGGAGGCCGGGCTGCCAGGATTCATGCATGGCATGGAGTGTCACAAGTTCTTAGGAGGCCACGTCTCCCAGTGGGAGGCGACCTCCTGCACGGCATGCATGTTCGCAGGATTAAGTGCAGACTTTTTCATGTACGTGTGCTTGTGAAGTGCTTGTGAAGCATTTTGGCTCATGAGCACCATGATCACTAACCGAGCTGCCAACACGGCAACTGTTGAACAGGCTGCTAAAGCTTTGAGAGGCTGCTGCACAAGCCTGCACTCTGGGTAGAAGGAAACAGACTGTGAGAAGATTTGCTCCTCGTACGAAAATTTCATCTTGGACTTGTTAGACTTGACCCCGAGGCTTGAAAAGGCTTGCCTCAAGGCTTTCGAGGCCACGGGTCCCAGTGAAGCTTCTTTTTTCGGCAGACAGCTAGCGGCAGCGGTCCAGTTTTGTAGAATCAAGGCGAAAAGCGTCTCGACAGGAGTTCGCACTCATGGTTCGGTGCTTCGCATCATACAAAAAATGGAAAAAATAAGGCTGCAGAACAAAAGTTCCAATTGGGACATATATGGAAGGGTGCGAAGCCCACCGTAGCAGCAGTAGCCGCACACGCCGTGGCTGCTGCCAGGCCCAGCAGATCTCGAGCAGCAACCGCTGCTGCTGCTGCTGCCAAGCCTACTAGGGCAGTTTCCATCGGATCCGTGTCGTCCACCGGAAAACAGTCCGCTGCTGACATCTTCGCGATGTACGGCTTAACCGGCGAGCCCGAGAAGATGGAGCACAGAAGCTCTGCAGCGAGCGGCTTGGAGGAGCCCGAGGAGATCGAGCAGATAAGCTCGAGTGAGGAGGTCCAGCCTCTTCCAAATTATCAGCCTGATGCTGCTGTGACGTTCTTCGATCAAAAAGCATGCACATGGAAGACAGTCGACAAGAGCGGCGAAATGCATGAGGAACCAGGCCATGCTCGCCCAGGTGTTCCAGACCGTGTGCTTCGACACCATGACGAGATCCTGGCCAGGCCTGTTGCAGCCCTTGAGCCCTTGTCTTCCCGAGGCCTCACCGAGACGGAGGACAAGGAGGCTGGCAAGAAGAAGAAGAACAACAAGAAGAAGGACACGGGCGACACGAAGCCTATCCGAAAGCCAAGGGCAAATCCAAGGCGAAGGCCAAAGCCAAGCCCAAGCAAAAGGCCGAGGCAGAGGTCAAGCATGGGGGCGGCGAGGTGCCGACGAAGACCGATCCGGAGCCTGATGAAGCTGAGGCCAAGTCGAGTTCCAAAGCCAAGGGCGGATCCAAGAAGGCCAAGGTTCGCAGTGCCGAGGACGATCCTGAGATTCGGGCCCAAAAGATTCTCAAGAAGCCAGCCGCTCTTCAGGCGGCGGAGGGTGAGATTCTCAAGAAGCCAGCCGCTCTTGAGGCGGCGGAGGCTGGAGATGAAAATGGAAATGGAAATGAAGAGGAGAAGGGGGGCCCGGAGATTCAGGACAAGCCCAATGGGTGGAAGAAGATGCTGTTCCAGAGGGGTGGGAAGCAGAAAGGGACCTACTTCATCCTGGTGTCGCCCCAGAACTCGCGATATCGCAGCCGTCCCGCGGCAACGGCTGCCGGCTACGTGTCGGAGTGATATTTAAATATTTAGAGGGTTTGAGCTAGGAAAAAGGTGCCATGCTTGACACGAGGGTTATCAGTGCATGCATGTTTGTTTCTGTCCTTCTGCTTCTGCTCTCATGTCAACATGTCAGTTCTGTATACATGTTTCGTCTCTGCAGGTACTGCCGTCGACGTCCTGGACAAGCTGCTTCTCTTCCGGGTCTTCTCCGGCCGATGCCCAACCCAGTGTTCCTGTTCAGTTGCATCGACTGCCATGTTTTACATAATTCTGTAGTTTGGGATGGCAACATAAGTGGGGATTCTTGTCTGGTCGAGGAGTCACGAATTAATGCGCTTTTGGCTGGCTGCTACGTCCTCCTAATGCACCCAAGAGCTTCAAAGGAGGATGCAGCATGATGTGCATGACCCGCTGCAGGCACGGCCAGATCTCTTCGAGCTGCCGCTTCACTTCCGGCTGGTGCCCTCCCAGTGTTTGCGAAGTGCATGAGGGCTTGCAGGTTCGGAGGGTCTTTGTCAGAATGGTTTCAACTTCAGGTTTCATGTTTCAGGGTTAAGTGTCAGTTTCAGCTTTGATGTTTCAGGAATCGGTTGCAGTTTCAGGTTTGATGTTTCAGGGTTATAAGGAGGACTGTCGTCCTCCTGTGATGTTCAAGTTGGATTTCCATCAGTTTCAGGTTGGATGTTTCTAGGAGGACTATTAGTCCTCCTATGATGCATGCATTGGATTCCGCAGGGGTTGCAGGCTGTATACATATATAGGATGCATGGCACATGCATCCTGATTCCGCACCCCGTGAGCTTTTGCTATCAAGCTTGATAGGGGCCCACCTGCATTTCGAGGATCCCTCGCGATCGCCATGGGAGCCGCGCAGAGCTCTGGCAACGGGGCCCAGGAGATCTTGGCGGCGGTCAACAGGCTTTCGACGGCCATGGAAAGCCTGACGCCGCCCCAGCCTGCTGCACCGGGGCCCAACACAGGGTCCGTGCCAGCCCCACCCCCGTTCCCCCAGCCTGCTGCACCGGGGCCCACAGGGTCGACCGTGCACGTGACAGCCCCGTTCCCCCCCATGCCACCGCCGTCGCAAAGCCATCACGACCAGAGCCGTCTGCGGTATTGCAACTTCTGCAAGCAGGTTAGCTACTGGCGGAAGGGCATCTGCCTCAATGAAAGCTGCCGTGATCCTCGGAGGCATTTATTATAGCTGTTTCTCATGGTTTGGTTGTAACTATAATTTTAAAATCATCGAGCCCTGCAGTTGACCTACGTCGACGTGAAGGACCTGAATGTTGCGAAGACGTGGGCAGGGAGGGAGATCACCTCCAGCTCGGATATGGCATGGTATGTGCAGAACCAGCGCAAGAAGAAGAACAAGGGTGGTTGGTGTTGCATTATGCATGCATGTTGATGTCTGTGCCATAGATGCTTCCATGCATGTTTGTGTGTGTCTCCAGCTGAGGTCTCAAACGCAAAGCTTGGTGGGCGGATCGCAACAATAAATGGTCCAAGGCAAAGGGGGATGGTGAGGAGTGGTCCAAGGCAAAGGGGGATGGCGACGAGGATCTCGAAGAGAAGGAAGATGAGGCACCGGATCCTCATCATGAACCCCTCCCGGGTTCGAAGGGCCCCGATGGCAATGATCCTGACCCAGACAATAAGGGCCCAGGTTTTGGCGGTGCAGGCGGTGGATCACTGATCCCAATGCTGACTGTGTAATGCACAGGAGGCACGATCGATCGTATGAGCATCGGATGAAAAGACTCCTTAGGAGTTGCATGCTTTGCACTCCTGTTGGCTAAAGGAGTCTGCTGCATGCCTTGCATTCATGCACCATGGATGCATGCAGGTACATATCCTACACAGCTCTGGAAAGGAGGCTCGCCCGGGTCTCCTGCACAAGAGCTTGGTCCCGGTATCTGTCAACATGTTTGTTTCAGCTGTAGGAGGAGAGTGCAATTGCTTGCAACATGCATGCAATGTTCCTCCAGGATCTATCTATATATATATATATATATATATATCCTTTAAACCCTAAACCCTAAACCCTCAACCTTAAATGATATTAAAGATACTACAAACATATTAATATATGTTAATTTATTTAGTGCATGTATATATATATGTATAATATATATATATATATATATATGTTACATCATATGCAAACAAGTGATATGCTTGCCTGACAATGGGTGGCGGCTGCTGTGGCAGCAGGAGGCAAACCTCCTAGTCTCCTGGATCGTCGAGGAGATTTAAATTAAACCTATATATGTATATATATATATATATATATATTATTTACAAACCCGGATAACCGGAATCAGAATGGCCCAGCCTGCCTGTTGCCGAGGTTGCAACGCCGATGTCCGGAGGATCTTCGACCAGGCGCTTTTTGCCCGTTCCGATTTCTAATTTTTGAAAGAGTCAGAAATTTAACTCCATTTAACTGGGATTTAACTTTGTCTTCTTTTAAACAAATTATGAATAGCCCAAGTTAAATGCCCAGTTAAATGGAGTTAAATCCCTACTTCTTTCCAATGTCTGCACTTATGCGTCGCCAGGACCACCACGACGGTGGTGATGCCGGAGGAGGCTGGATTTCGAGCTCTCCTGATGGGTCTCACCGCCGAGCAAAGGGCACTTATCGGGCGATTGTTGGTGGAGATAGACGGCCCAAGAGAGCCGTTTAATCCTGCTCCGGAAACCCCACCGCCCCCACCCCATGCTCAGGATCCTTGTCCACAGAGGTGTCACCAGTGCAGGGAGCAATGGTGCACTCGAGGCCTGGAGCCGCACAAGCACCACAATTGCACCCGATGCTTCCGCAAGAGTCGCCGGGGCTAGAGGTCAAGATGTCATATCCATGGCATGTATATATATATATATATATATATATAATATGCTATGAAGAAATGGGAGCTTGCCCTGCAATTGTTGCATTTGCAAGTGACATGCATATTCAGGTGCTGCATTTGCTGCATTCCCCGTACCTAAAACTTGCCATGGCAGTGCTCAGATCTTTATCTTAAAGTCTCACTCTTCTACAGGTACCAACTTTCTGAGGATGCTCGCAATAAGTATCATGGCGAGCCTCCTGCCCTTGACCGCTTTGGTCATGGGGGTTACCCGACACACGGCGAAGGCCGGCCCCAAGGCCAAAACCGGGGCGAGCAAGGCCAAGGCCAAGGCTAAGCCCACGGCAGCGAAGGCCAAAACGCAGCCGGTGCCCGTGACCGTGAAAGTCGAGCCGGGTGCTGAACAAGCCGACGCCTCTGAGAAGGCAAAGGACCCCGTCAAGGGCAAACTCAGCAACCTGGTAACACAATCCAAGAATGCAGTGAAGAAGTTGGAGGATCACGACAGCGGCAAAGCAACTCTCAGCGAAGAGGAAGTCGGCAAGCTCAGAAGCAAGAAGAAATTCTACGACGACTATTGCCAATTGCCCCGGAATGCCACCGAGCAAAGGATGCAAATGCTCTCCTCCTGGGAGCAAGACAAGACAGGGAAGATGTGGGCCGAGAAGATCCAGTCCCTGGAGAACGACAAGGCGACCACCGCCAGCAAGGTGGGTGGGTTCTTGTCTCGTGCCTTGGCCTTGCAAGTTGTTTCGAATACAGTGTGTGTTCATGTATATATATATATATATATATATATATACGTGCAACTAATCAATTGAAGTCCGCAGGAGTTCTCCGGAACTCCTAAGAACAATTCGCAAGAAAGCAGCCGAACAGATCGATTGGGCGATCAGGAGAGACTAAGTAAGTCTTAGCAATTAATACAAGGAGGTTGCAAGGTAGGTTCGTTGCAGCCTCCTTAATTGTTCTGGTGGGATTCCATGCACTTATAGCATCGATCTCGAGCATCAAGTAGCCAACCATATGCATGCTCTCCTGGCTGTATACAAGAGGATGAAAAGGTTGCGGTGTGGGGTCAGAAGAAGTTTGTATATGTCTTTATAGATCGCATAGCTCTGTATATACTGTAGTTTCTTGTTTTAGAGAATATATGGAACATGCAGGCATACATAATAGGAGGATGGGCATGCTTGGCTTCTCACCCGAGGTTGGGAGATCGCCGACCAGGAGAACCTGAACCTTCAGATCCCCGAGCAGAAGAAGCTTTGGGAGTCCATCCTCGAGGAAATCCCCTATGATGAGGACTGGAACCAAGAGGATAATCGTGAGCGAGCCCTTGCAAAAGCCGGGGAACGTCGCTACCACTACGGCAAAACCAAGATGACAACGACAACGGACACAGTTCGTCACAAAGAGACGATGCAGGCCGGGTACAACCTGAACGACAAGGAGAAGAAGCAGGCCCTGCAGGACAGCCCCAATCAGCCTTCAATCGAGGTCCGGGATCCCCTTTTGGTTGCCTTGAGGCAAGAGCTGCAGACCATGAACTCCGGGAAAAAGGCTGTCGAGAGAAACCTGAGCACGATCAAGGATCTCCAGGTTTTCGCGAACACTAAGGGCCTGAGCAAGATGAAAGATGCTGCCGCAGATGCCCTCACACCACTCGACGAATTCCTGGTCACCTTGAGGGAGGACTTTGCAAAGCTCGATGCCCTGGACGTCGGGAGCGAGGAGTCGGTCCAGCAGGCCAAGGACATTAACATGCAGGCAGGTGTGCACGTGGATGCTGCTGGCAGAGTCATCAAGAAGTTGAAGACGATGAACGAGTGAAGGCAGTACTAGGTCTTGCTTATAAGGTTCCTGGTTTTTGAACAAAGGAGCGGCGGCATGCATGGACGATCGCTGCCAGGCAAAAAAAATCACCAGATTTTGCATGCACATGCTGCATGTGCACGGCTTGACCACTGTCTTTGTGTACTTATAATTCGTGTTCGCTGCAGCCGTTTGCCTCCAACTTTTATAAGTTTTGTTTCTTTAAATCGATCATGATGCAACAAGGCCTCCGGCTCATCTGCAGGAGGTGGACCCTCCTCAGAACAAACCGAAAAAGAAGCGATCTCCTCATATACAAAAGCCCAGCTCAGTCGCCAGGAGTCTTTGTTTAATTGACTCCTCATATCGGTTGCAGTCCAGAGCCATGTTGCCTTCGAAAAAGCACCAAACAGATTTGAGGGAGGTGGAAGCTTCAAAAAGGTTAAGAACACGCATCGGCAATTTGATGCTGAGCAATACCATTTCTGGTATCGAAGCTAGCCGCCTTTTTCGAGATGCGGACTTGGCCAATGCAGAAAATGTCAAGGATTTGGCTGCATGTGGCACCGGCCGAGCGGATGACATCCCTAAGAAAAGGGATTTGGTGCGCCGCCTTGGCATTAACCGGCATTGGCCGGATCCGTATTGGTGCAAGCTGCCGCTTTGGTGCATGGCTCAACAAGTGGCTACCGAGGAGTGGGTGCCACTGTGGCTTCCCCATGAGCTGCTGCATGCACTGGATTCCAAGGCTGCCGGCTTAAACACCATGAGGGATTTAAGCTGCATGGAGCCGGGCGAGGTGGCTCTGCTCCGCCAGTGCTGTGAGAAGGCTGGTTTGGAAGAGGGCTCTGCAGTGGCCCTGGGGATTTGGGGCGATGGGGTTCCGATCACTCGTGATCGTACCCAACCGGCGGAAGTCTTATCCCTCAACATTCTCAGCCACTCTCAGCGAGGTGCATTGCGATTTCCCTTAGCCTTGATGCAAAAGCATTTGATGTTGAAGGAGTTCACATGGGATGCTGTCCTGTCGATCATGGCCTGGTCCTTCGCTTTTCTCGCAGCAGGCATTTCGCCATCGAGTCGCCACGATGGGACGGCATGGTTGCCTAGCGACAAAGCAAGGAGGGCACGAAGCGGATTGCAACTACCCAGGGCATTCCTGATTCAAGTCCGAGGCGACTGGGCCTTCTACAAGCAGACGTTGTACATGCCGGCCTGGCCAGCAGCAGCTGCATTGGTTCGATGTTTTAAATTGCTTTAAGATTATTGGGCTTTTTTATATATAGGAGATAGGGGGGGTCTCCTTTATGCTAGCCTCCTTTATAAAGGAGGCTAGCTTATACAAATGTTCATTTAAATTTAGATATGCTGGAAACGTAAATATATAGAGCTATTTTTTGGGTGATATGTTATATAAGACATGCATGATCATAGACATCGATGATATATTTTTCCATCTCAGGAACAGGAAAGATGGCTGCTGCTGGTTGTGCAACATCAAGCCCTCCGAGCTGCATATGGTGGCTCCTAACTCTCCCTGGATGCACAATCGCAAGTCGCACTGGGATGCCGTGTGCGAGATGCCCAGGAAGAGCCCTCTGCTGGGTTCTCCTTTTTTTCGCTGGCAATGTGCCAGCTCGATTGGCTCCACATAGTGGACATCGGGGTGGCCCTCGAGTTTCAAGGAAGCTTATTTCACTACGTGTGCTTGAAGAAACTGCGAGGCAACCTGCAAGTGGCATGCCGTGAGCTGTTTTTCATGATCAAGGAATATTATTCCGCCAACAATGTCGGAAGCCAGTTGGGCGAACTGAAGCCCACTATGCTCAAGGGTAAAGGAAAACCATACCCAAAGCTTCGGGTGAAAGCGGCGGAGAGCCGAGCATTGGTGCCGTTCAGCGAGATCCTGGCCCAGGCCGTGCTAGTCCCCGAAGAGCCCTTCGACAACATGCTCATGAAAGCTGCCAGCTCCTTCGCTCGCTGCTACGATCAGCTTTCCAAGGACTCCTTTCAGCCGGCCACTTTGGCACAGGAGGCCTTCGAATTCGCTTCGAGATACGTGGATCTCAACAAGGAGGCGGAGAGACTAGGCATGAAGCTTTTCAAAATAAAGCCTAACTTGCACATGTTTTTGGAATTGTCTTACTGCTGCACCTGCTCTCCTTCAGCGAACTGGTGCTACAGGGATGAGGATTTTGCTGGCAAGGTTGCAATGGCAGCTTTTCGGCGAGGCGGTGCCAACACCGTGCGAGCACTGGCAGAGTCTTACTTCTTACGCTGGAAATCCATGTATGCAGTTCCAGAATTGTGCTGATCCATCGGCTTCTCGATCTGCGAGTTGGGGCAAAGTCCGACTAATTCATGCACGCTCATGATATCACGAATATATTATTATTCGACACTTTATAAATATACTCATATTGTAGCATGCATGATCGATATATATATATATATATATATATATATATATATATATACATACATACATTTCATGGCATGATCGCATGTGCATGGAGGCCCATGTGGTCTCCTCATTTCTAAAGGAGACCTGCCGGAAGACATGGATCTCCTAGCTGTGCACTTATAATATCACATGCATGCATGCATTTGCATGGATTTCTGCATGTCGGTCATGTTTAATATTCATGAAATCATACAATTATATATATATATATATATATATATATATTTAATAGTAAAACAAAACATAGCCATATATTCGACTTCCTCAGCACTGTCTGGGGGAACAAAACTATGCCCAACCTGCACACACGCCGCGGTCGCCCGAACCTTCCTTAATTTAGGATTGTGTGAATCTATTCTAAATAACGGGTGTCTGCCTTAATTAAAGCTTGCTTCCTTATATTTTTAAGGACTATAGTGCTTAAATAAGGAGTATACTCCTTATTTAAGGAGTGTACTCCTTAATTAAAGCTTGTGAATAAGGACTATAGTCTTTAAAAAGTGGTCATTGCAACTTTTAAAGACTCTTGGGCCGTCTGGGAACGGCTCGTGCCGCAAGGGTGCGGACTGCGACATGGTCCATTCGCTTCCCGCCGCTAGCGGAGCCGCGTTGCCGTCGAACTGGGCGGCCCCGAGTGGCGCCGGTATGGTGAATCCCTTTGCGACGCTCTCCATCCAGATTGGGAGCGCTGGCACGGTTGTTGCGGCGAATCGCCTTCCCGCTTGCGAAGGACTCGTCGCCGAAGTTCGGCTCTGTGGACGAGCTGCCTCACGACTGGTGGCACCTCTGCGAGAACGAAGTCGGAGGTTACCAGTACAGAACAGTCGTGCAGGTCGTGGACGGCATGGTGGAATGCATGCTGGACGGGTGCGCGGGCTCGAACCATCACAGAGGAGCTTCTCTGTGGGGTCCTCAACAGGGCTGCTGCCTTGGGGATCGGCACGGAGGACCGGAGGTTTCCTGCCGTGAAGTCCGAGCGCTGGGTCCACCCGGAGTTCGTCCACGGAATCGCTGCAGGAAAGCCGGTGCCCTTGAAAGGGGCCGTGGTGCTGAGAGTTCGTTTCCTTGAGGGACTCTCCCCGGATAACTGCAGCGAGGGTCCCGAGATCTTCGTGCGCTGCAAGATAGCCGCGAAAGGGACCTCTGATAATTGGCATGGCCTCATCCTCGGAGGCCGTGCCCTGGACTGTTCGGGGCGGCAGGGCTTGGGTTTCAAGCCCCTTCCTGACTGCCACTCCCTGGAGACCCTAGGGATCAAGATCCCCAGGTGCGAAGACTACAGTAGGTCGAGGAAGGACCGGGCCTATGCCTTCGAGTCCAGGCTCTCTAGCCTCGACGGTGCTGTGCTTCGAGCCGGGTACCGGAGGCAGGGGCCTGCTCCGGTACAGCGGAGAAGGCCCGCTGGAACTCCTGGCCGGAGATGGGGTCATCGCGCCTGTGAAGAGGGACGGCAGTGGAGGCCAGGATGGCTCTTTTACGGAGGCCGTCCTCGCCGTCAAATCCTTCAACTGCGAAGCGGTGCCTGGGTTGTGGCCCACATAGGGTTCGATCTTGCTGGTGGCCGAAGAGGACACGACTGTCTCTCCGGGTGCTGTCGTTGGCGAGGTCCGGACCGGGCTCGCGCAGACCACCGCGTGGGAGTGTGGAGGTGTCGAGACTCTCTTCACGGACGCGAGTGGCGACCCGTGTGGGAACTGCGGGGTAGGCACTGTCCAGGACTCTACCTTCCCTAGATGCTTTGCGTGCGGGTCCAGGGCTGCGGCGCGTTCTCGCACAGCAGGGGTTGGCGAAGGGGCCTGAGAGTGGGGGCGGTCTTCGCCCTCGCAGCCGTAAGCACGCCACGGAGTCCGTGGTTACGGATCCGCATGCCGTCTCCTTCCTCACCTCCATCCCTACTGAGGGCCACGAAGGGTGGAATGGCTGGCCTCTGGAGCGGCAGGCCCCAAAAAGGCGATCCGGAGAATCGTACGAGACATGCCTCGTGAAGTCTTCTGGCGGCCCGTGGCGGTTGTGGCAGACCCGGGACCTTAGGCTTTGGCCCGAGTCTGTCGACTGGTCAACCGTGCCCGTCACGTCCGACCTCGCGGTCTTCCGAACGAAGACGGGGCCGCGCTGGGCCGGGTGGGATTCGGGGTCCGCCACGAGGGGTCTCGGAGGAAGCCATGGCCGAGATGTTTCTAGTGGTTCCAGAGTGGACACTAGGAACGAGCCGGTGTACCACATAGTGGAATCGGCCGACATCGAAAGGATGATCGAGGAACCTCCTTCCAACTACTATTACGATAAGCTCCGGGAGGATATGGGTGCGAGGCACAAGAATGCTTGCCCGCACCTTCTCGATCACCTGGTTTCTCTGGAAGCCTTCCTTGACAAGAGCATCCTTTTCGGATTCTCTTTTCGTGTCGCCAAAGCTGAGATCTGCGTGTCGGAAGGGAAGCTTCTCGGGCACCGGATCGGGCGGCACGGGAGTGCGCCCGATGAGGAGCGCTGCCAGGCGGTCGTGGATTTCCCGCCGCTTAAGGAAAAGCTCCACATCCAGCAATTCCTCGGCTGT